AATCCATTGAAAACCAATTTCAAACTTGATTGTTTATTCATTTGACCTCAATTTTACGTAAACTAGTCTTTCAACTTGTATGATAATTCATAGAATACATTGGAGATGCTCTTATTTTCACTTATTAAAAAGATTATCTATTAACCTAATTGATCTCTCTGTCATATTCTACTCCCCCATCACCGATTCCTTGTCCCATGTCCTGCTTCCCCTTTCATTCATCCTTATTCTTATTCTTTGCTCCATTCTACCAGAGATTCGAAGGAACTGTAACACGCCAAGTTATTAATTTTACCACCTCAACAGCCCCACCAAACACCTCCTCTCAAACTGCACACCACCTCCGACTTTGCCATGAGTCCATACATGGTGACAACACTTGTTTCCCACCTGGCCACCGCATTGCCCTAACACCAGAAATGTATTTGCCTCACAGATGATTGTGTATTTGTGTTGATTTATCTAAAATTTGGAATCCTATACCGAGTGTGGTGGGTGTCTTGACTTGTTAGAATTAGCCTCTGTTAGGTAATCATTCTTTCAATTTTTTTTTTTCATATTCATTTTTAACCACACATTCTTATAATAAAATATTCTTCATATAAACTCAAAACTTTTTTCGGGTTATGATACGTGTACCTAACAAATTACATAATTTTTGACCGAATTGACAGTGGCGGCCCCTATCAATTCGGTTAAAAATTATGTAACATGTTAGGACAAATAGATTTGTCCACTTTTTTCTACTTCTCACCACACATTCTATAGAAACTTACCATTCAAAAACTCGTTCTCTCCGAAAAAATAGCTGTGAAACAGGGGCTTAGCATCAATTGTAACTACTTTGAAATAAGGCCACGGAAAATTGTAATAAAGACTAAAACAAATGTTATTTTTAATTTCCCACTATATGGGACGGTGGATTTGTAAAATTCATTTTTTTTTTATAATCTCGGATGTTCGGGCCAACTTGCGCGCATCTCGACTAATTCCACGGGGCCCTATAGTTTACAGTCGGATACTCACCTCAGTAGCCCCGATGGGACTCGAACTGGTGATCATTGGGGAGCAAACTCAATGCCTGATCAATTGTGCAACCCCTTAGAATTGGATTTGTAAAATTCATTTTTCTAAAAGCCGAAGTTTATTTCGTTAAAACTTCTACAGGCCATTGGGCATTTCCCTGTAATATCCAATTGGAACTTGTGTTTCTGTCTTTCATTATCCTACCCTCGGGAATTTCGAAGCAAATTGTAAGAAAAGCCCGTTTCCAAGTTTTTGTTGGAGTTTCTTAAGTAGGAACAAGGTTTGGCTGAATGTAAAGGTAAGTCAGACAACCAAATTCTGGAACTGTGTTTAAATATACAAACCTAACGTAACAATTAAAACGAGCACACTCGATGTGAATTGTGAAGCGACCCAATTAAAATATATTGAACAATACCATCGCGCGAAAATCTCAATAACCCAAACTCCATTGTGAAAGTTAGACAGTGGTTTTAATACCAAAATACAAAAACTAGTTATTGTAACATGTTACTAACTAAATGAACTGAACATAATTGCAATACAACACCAAAGAGAATGTGTGTAACTTTTGTTGGAAAATTGTATCGAAAATTGGTTGTGACCAATTTAAATGATTTAAGCGAAATTTGTTATTTGGTGAATGAGAAATAAAACCAAATTTAAACCGCTTAATACTTGAAATTATTGGAAAATAGTATAGAATATTGCGTAATATTCTAGAAAAGATATAGATGAAAACATGTGTCTTTTCATATGGAATATCATGACATTTGGAGAT